AGCCACATATAGGAGAAGGTCATAAAAAAATCGAGTTATAGTAATATTCGAGTTATCGTACTTCGAGTTATAGCGAATTGACTGTACATTGATACAATACAAACCAGTGAGTGATCACTCTGATGTTCAAAGCAGTATGGTGAACAGCCATTTTCTTAGATCCATTTGGAATAATTTTCGGCGTCATGCCTTGTTGCAACATCCAAGATAAAAGGAATTGCCCATCAAACCCCTTCATGTTATGAGCAATAGCCGTATACCCTGAATGATTTCGACTAAAAAGAAAACTACCAAAAACGATCCAATGAATTATATCCATCAAAAACAAACTCTTTGCCATCAAAATACTAGTCAACAGCGAAGTTGACAACATGTTCATTTGAGATGTGATCTGTTTTCAGATCGAAAAAGATAAGCTTTTGATTAGGTTGGATCGGTGAAAGTTTATCCAGAAAGCATCGATGTGATGACATAACAGCGAACTTTTTACAGGAAGGACATTTTGAAAAACCACAGAGATGTTGACCCTTACTGCAGTCTCGTTCTATTCCATTTACAGCATTGGTAGAGTTGGTCACAGATTGAAAAAAAACTTGACCTCCTATAGGAGTCCGATGTCTTTCAAAACATTCCGCTGATTGACAAAGCCTGTCACATCCGTTACAACGAACTTTCTCCCCAACAGAACAACAATTAGAGTAGCATATGGCGCATCTAAAACTACATCTATGGTCAATATTATTCGTGAAGGTTTCATCACAATAATTGTCAGAACCATTAAAACCCTTCCTTGATGTTATTACGTCGTAATGATTGCCATGATACCAAATATGAATTCGAGGATGTTCTTCAATTCCCGACTTATGTATGGCCTGAAAAAAATAATCATATAATTGTCGTATACATTTTCCTATTGTTATACATTGAAATTCTATGAATTATCATCATTTAATGGGTTTATTCACATAATCTAATCCTCAAATAAACAATGATGAAAAGAAATATAACTATTTTATAAAAATATAAAAGTTTCTTTTGAAAAAAAGTATAAAAATATTTGCATATTAAATCCGAAACCTACTTTTGAAGTACATGAATGAAAACGTAAATTTGATAATTCTTTAGTACACGTTAAACGAATAATAGAATTCATACTGATTAAAGTTTAAGAAAAACTGTCATAAAGGTATACATAAAATTAAATAATGTAAAAAAGCTCTATCTAAACAAAAATGTAAAATCTACAGTATATTATATATATAAATTAATTGCTAAAAATGTTTAAATCTACGCATTTTTACTTTTACGGAGAAAAAAAAAGCTGTAATAATTTTTTTTTTTTAAATCTTATTCATGTTGGTGGATGACACGTGGATCAATCTTCCTTAAAAAAATATTCATAGTAATAAATTTAAGTTAAGAAATATTTTAAAAATCTTACTTCAGTTTTATTGAATTAGAATTTAAAGAATATTTAATTTTTATTAAACTTAAAATGTGTCGAAATATAAATTCTAAACTTCCTTTTTCATGTTCCAGTTAATTTAACATAAGCATGAATTTAAAATTTAATTTCATTATGAAAGACATATAATTAAATTAAGACTTACTCGTACAAAGGTTTCACTGGAACTGTGTTTTTATCCGCAGCTTATTGTTCCATCTGTCATGTGAATAGCATTTCCTGAACCTTGTTGGAATCATTTTCATGGTTGTGAACTCTTTCATCTGATAATATTTGATCATTTTTAGTCAAAGGCGTCCAGAACAATGCTGTTGTAAATGCCTGCAATTTTGCAAATGATTTGCGGTTGTCGTACGATGTGCTATGTTAATTTCAGTCGCCAAATCACGATGCTGATACCATTCCAATATTCACAAACATAAGTTATTATTAATCAGTAAATTATTATTTGTACCCATACAGAAGTCATAAATCTAAAAAAAAAAATCATCGAAGTTCGACGAAACATTATAAAGGTCACTGAAAGAAAAGTGGAAATTAAAACTATCCAAAAAAAAATTAGTTACTGAGTGGGACTAAAAGTCATCTCCTAAAAAATAGTATTTGGTAAAGTAGGCATTAGTCGCACCTTTTAGATACATCTGACAAGTAATTGATGATTTTATTTGCTCATTGCTAAGGTTGACTAGGATAATGTTTCTTCAGAACTTGATAACTTTTCTTCGATAAAATATTGAGCGGCATATGTAGGTTCTAATAGGAATTCTAAAATTAGATATACAAAGGGCGATATTTAGAGAACTACTTTTATAATTTCAAAAACTACACTATGATGAGTCTATGATAGATATACAATGAGAAAGTATGAAATTGGATAAATCTAATAACTATCACATCACAGTTCATCTTCTGATACAATCTCATCCTTAATCATTACTGGGGGTTGAAAAAGGGATCCACCCCTACTATTTGTTCTTGATACAAAGCAGTCCGATTTTTTTGTATCAGTGATTGATTGAGAATCAGTATCGATAGCAGGAATTCGTTGTGGTGATACAATCTCTTTCTTAATCAGTACTGGAGGTTGAAAAAATGCTCCGTCGCTACTATTTGTTTCTGATACTTGAGATAAACAGTCCGATTTCTTAGCATCAGGGACTGATTTAGAATCGGTATCAACAACAGGAAGTCGTTCTGGTGATACAATTTCTTTCTTAATCATTACTGGAGGTTGAAACAGGGCTCCACCGCTTGTTTCCGATACTTGAGAAAAGCAGTCCGATTGTTTTGCATCAGTGACTGACTGAGAATCAGTATCAACAGCTGGAAGTCGTTCTGATGATGCAATATTTTCACCAACCATTACTGGGCAAGGGACTGGAGTACTGGTCACATCGATTCCGGTACTAGGAGTGGGGATCACTGGGAGTTGAAATAGGGCTGCACCGCTACTAGGATTGGATATTACTGGGAGTTGAAATAGGGCTCCACCGCTATTTAATACTAATATCTGAGAAAAGCAGTTCGATTCTTTTGCATCAGTGACTAATTGAGAATTAGTATTCATGACAGGAAGTTGTCCTGGTGATATAATTCCTCCCTGAATCATAACTGGGGGTTGAAACAAGGATCCACTGGTACTATTTAAAACTAATACCTGAGGAAAACAGCCCGGTACTTGTGCACTAGTGATTGATTGAGCACCAATATTAATAAGAGGAAGTCGTTCTGATGATACAATACCTTCCGTAATCATTACTGGAGGGTGGACCGATTTTTTTAAATCAGTGACTGATTGAGAATCAGTATCATTGACAGGAAGTCGTTCTGGTGGGACAATTTCTTTTTTAATTATTACTGGGGGTTGAAGCAGGATTCCACCGCTACTATTTAATACTGATACCTGAGAAATATTATCCGATTTTTTTGTATCAGTGACTGATTGAGAAGCGGTATCTTTGACAGGAAGTCGTTCTGATGATACAATTTCGATTTCCTCCTCAATCATTACTGGGGGTTGAAACAGGGATCCACCGTTATTCTTTGTTTCCGATGCTTGAGAAGGTTTATTTGTCTCTTTTTCTGATCGTGAATCAGTACCAATGGTGGGAGAACGTTTGCTTTCAGATAAATTGTCATTTGCAGTAGATTGGTTAACGCAATTTAAGGTATCGGAAGATGTTGAAGGTTCATCCACATCCAAGTCTTCCTCACTGGTCTTACGTCTTTTTCTTGATCTTGTCTGAAAATAGACAAAGACGAGATTTTGAATTTAAAAAAAAATTAATACAATGTAAAATTAACAGAATAACTTTTATACATAGATCCGAAATTAACAGAATAAATGATGCCGAAAAAAAGACATTAACTGAATAACGATGTATAGAAACCGAAATTAGCAAAATACAGTTGATTCACGGAATCGAAATTAACAGAATAAAAGTTCATACATAGAATCGAAACTAACAGAAAGTCGTTTATACATTGAATCAAAATTAACCGAATAATAATTGATACATAGAACCGATATTAACTTAAGAACATTTGATATATAGAACCGAAATAAACTGAATAATAATTGATACAAAGAACCGAAATTAACAGAATAAAATTTGATTTATAGAACGATATTAACAAAATAACAATTGATACGTAGAACCTACATAATCAGAATAACAACTGATGCACGGAATCGAAATTAACAGAATAATAATTGATATATAGAACCGAAACTAACAGAATAACAATCGGTACAAATATACGACTGATAATTTTCTTAAATCTCAATGCATGGTGTTTTGTAAACTGCCTTTAATATATATTTTTAAAATCCTTCGAAACTCCTTATGCTTACTTTTATAAAATCAAATTTGGAAGTCTTACATTAATATTTAAGGGAAGAAAAAAGAAAATATTTGAAGAAGATTTGGGAAAACCTTGAAAAAATTATTATTGAAGAGGACTGGATTAAAGCAAGACAAAACCTGTTTGATTGCCTTTGGAAACAGAAGCGAGCCGAAAGGAAAAAATTTATACATTTAATATTGGTATGGCAATTGAACAGATTTCGGTCTTTTCCTCAATAGTAACTCGTCAGATTTCCTCTCTCTAATCTGCGATCCTAATACTTTTCTAATTTTTTTTATTTGTTTTACTTTTCTAATTTAATTTTTGAAAGGATTCTAAAAATATATATGAAAAGCGGTGATTACGAGGAAAGTCTTGCATACATGGGTATAAAACAAAACTTCTTTACCCAATAACTGAATTAAATACATACATTTCACGTGTATTTTAATGTATGCATATCGCTCATAGGCTGTAATAGTGGCACAACTAAAAAAAACACGCGTTTTGGACTAAGAACAGGTGTAAATGTGAAAATACACACTCTTTTCAGCAGCAATACTAACACAACTCATAATTCAACTTGAAGGTAATCTTCGTTTAAGCAAACTAAAGCATTTCTTATGCATTTTCATTAGCAATGAAAACTTCAAATCCACTTATCTCAAAACATGATTTTTTGAATTGTGCCGCTATTTTACTCGTTTTAGTGTTATATTGCAATTATAGTGCAATTTTTCTAACCAGTATGAAAGGACTAGGCATTAAACTGAAATTTTAAATTTAACCAGCCCTATACAACTTTTTATAAGGACTTAATAAATATTTAAATTAAAATTTCTTAAAATCGTTTTTATTCAAAATTTATTACAAATATTTTATTTAAATTTATAACAAGAATAAAATACTCAAGCATAAATTTTATTACCACTAATAATCTTCCCAAAACAAAATGTATAAGTTAATAGCTATAATAGAGTATTTCTGAGAAATACTGTCTACTAATACTGAGAAATACGACTGCAATAGTCTTTCAGTTGAATTTTAAAAAAAATAATAATAAAAAAATGCGTTTATCATAGTATTAAAAATTTCTGTGAAAAAGAAATGATTGCTGTAAAAAAAGCATATAATTTTTTTGTACAAATTGCTTTTGAAATTGTTGCCATGGTTTGAAAAATCGTATTGCATAACCTAAACTTCCGAAACAATTAAAAACAAAAAGCATATTATACACATTGGCATTCGCAAAAGCTGATCTTAGAAAAACCCTGTTTTTAGAATGAGAGTAAAAGATTAGGTAAAAATTGGGAGTCATTATTTAACCTCTTAGTTCAGAATTTGTATTAAACAAATTCTTCATATTTTTTTTCTTATTATTTTGTATTAATTTAGGTCAAAATAAGTGAAAAATATTATATGTAGCATTTCAATAATTTATGCTTATGAAATACAGATTGAAACACCAGCTACTTTTTCTGCTACCTAACATTAATTTTTCGAATTTACACCAAAATCAGCTTAAATCCCGGAAAAAACTTAACAGATGTTTCTGATAAGCGCCATTCCTTTCTCCACAATTTTCTCCAGCAGATCAGTTTCGATATTTTAAATCCAACCTTCCTCAATAGTAACATCAAAAAGATCAATAATGCAAAATGAAGATAACTTCATATTGCCCTATAGACGCGTCAATTCACTCAAAATCCTAGTAGAAATAACACGCCATCGATAAACATTTCACACCATGATATCAAAAAGATCAGTAATGCAACATGAAGATCAATAATGCAACATGAAGATAACTTCATATGACACTATAGACGCGTCAATTCACTCAAAATCCTACTAGAAATAACACGCCATCGATAAACATTTCACGCCATGACATCAGAAAGATCAGTAATGCAACATGAAGAAACTTCATATTGCACAATAGATGCGACAATTCACGCAAAATCTAGTGGAAATAATTATCTAGTGAATCGGGGAGAAAAAATTTAGCGACAGTACAACATTTGTTAGCTTTTCATTAACGGCATAATTTTTCGAGTAGCGTGATCCAGTTTCTGAAATAAAAATGAATTAATAATTCAACAGCCACATTGCAAGAAATCGTTAAATCGATAAAAAATATTAATTTATTAGCTCTTTTTATTAATGGCGTAATGATACAAATACTAAAAGTATTTTCCTTGAGCGTAACAAATATTGAAGAATTTTTGTTAACTGTAAAGTTCTCTTTCAATTTCTGAAAGAAAGAAAGTGATGAATTGCTAACATATATGCATTTATATATAATACATAAATATTTTTTTCGCACTATATCTTTTTTAAAACATGAAAGAAAATAAACAAATCTAAAAATTAATTAAAATATTTATTAAAATTCTATAATCGATTTTATCCTAGTATTTATTTTTCATAATAGTATTAAAGTTAATGATTTAATTTCAAGTTCCATCATAAAATTTATTTCAATTACATTCTAAGTAATATACTAGTTCAGTTTTATTAAAATATGTGTGTAATATTTAAATTCTAGTGTGGAATTGGAACTCACGCGAATAAATTTTAATAAAAACTTGAAAAAAAAAAACAAATAAATAAAAGAGCGTTGCTAAGAAGAGGACTTAAAGTATTAGATCTCAAACAAATATAGAAAGAAAAAAAAATACGAAACTTGCCTAAAATTTAATAGACACTTGCAAGCATACCACAGTCCATTTTGCAGGAAGCCTGCATTATCCAAATTAAAGAAATTGCAGCGATGAATAATTGTTTCTCTTAGATCTAAATAATTGCAAATAAGTGCACATTTGAAAAATTATTGTTTGTAAGTGAGCCGTGTTTGGGAGATTTTACTTTTAACGCAGAAAAATACACCTGTATCATAATCATAAATTATTAAAATGCTAATTATAATATTGCATATATTTTATTATAATTATAATTTTTCATATAAATTAATATAAAATAATGAAAAAAATATGAAAAATATGTTTAACAAAAATTTTGCGTCAAAGGGTCAGAAAAGGTTAATTTCCTCAATGATAAAAATTACATTTATTAAACTTGATTTTTCGGAATACATATTTTTTTTTTTCTTCCCAAACTATATAAGACTATTTTACAGAAAAATCAATAATTACGCTAAACTATATTTGACTATTTATCAGAAAATTTAAATATACTAAACTATACTGATTATTTATAAGAAAAAATTCTAAACGAAATTTTGTATTAAAAGAAAATTATAATCACTTACCTCAGTCAAATCTTGAGGTTTTTGAGGAGGATTCAAAATCCGCCATTGATTGTACCAATTCTGGACTGTTCTGTAAGAAGGATTAATTCGACTATTATCCATGTCTTCTTCTACAAATCCCTCCTTTAACATCAATACGCTTGCATGATGACTACGGGATTTCATTATACCCATACCATCGTTAAAATATCCAAAGAACTTTTCTTTGGAGTAATTTGGGGAGAGGAACTTAAGCGAGTATGCTGTATTCAGACTGTGATTATGCACATCGTTTATAATGATGACTGCCACCAAGCCTTTCTAAAATGAAAAATTATACATAAACTATTTGAAAAGAAACCTGCAAAAAAATTTACATTTGGACACAATTTAATTAGAATAGTTTTAAATTGCATTAATATAGGGGTGATTTCCATATCGTGATCTATGGCAGAATAATACCACGTCTTGCAAACTTACGGGCAGCAGCCTTAAAAAAAAAAATTTAAAAACTTTAAACGAATTTCAAAAAATAAAAAAAAATTACATAAAGTGTTCAACTCGAAAAGTAGCGACCCCCAGGCAAACATCTACGTTTTTAAAATTAAAAAAAATTGCAGTTTAAAATTAAAATCTATTTGGCACCTTGGCGATTGCAGTTGGCGCGACAGACCACGATACGAAAATAGATCAGTAAATAAATAAAAGGAACACTCTAAATATCTCTTGATCTAATGATTGGATCTTCACGTTCTCAATCTTAATGATTTGAGGGTATGACCACAAACATACTAATCAACTAGCGCAGACGATATTTTAAATAACGGAATCAGCCACAAAACGTACTTTCCCTGAATAAACATAACTCTTTTTTTGTGTGTGTGGATTTGGATTTATGACCTTCAAAATATGAGAATTAGCTGAAGTCTGGGAAATTTGGCCCTAATAGGTTACCAGGAGAAAGATCGTAGGACTCCTTAAAGTTAATTTTACCTTATTTCGAGAACGTTTTAAGCAAATCAAACAATTTTTGCAATTCAGGCTTGTTCAGAGAAATCCAACGGATTCGGATTTCTTCGGAGAAAATAGGTCGGAGGTTTTGAGTCTGATTTCGCGACTTAAAATATTGTCTGCATTAATTATTTAGCATATGTGGTCACCCCCTCGAACCATTATGACCGATTCCTAGAATGTGAAGATCCGTACATAAATTATACGAGGAGGTCCGTTTTTTGTGTGTTTTGTATGGCACTGTTTAATTTTTTAAAAAACTTGTCTTTAAGAAGACATTGTAGGAGAGGACGCCGGAGAAGATTTTTAGGGCAAGATGAAGTGTGACCCTTTGTGACAAAAAAGTCAAAAATTTAAGGGAAAAAAAAGCTTAACATCATTTCTGAATACCATAATTTATAAAAGAAATTTAAAAAAGGAACCTGAAACAAATATGTAACGATAATTTTCATATTGAATACTACAAAAAACTTAATAAAAACGCGTCCGAAAAAGTTATTTAATTATTTATTTATTTTTATAATCATTTTATACTTGACCTTCACTCCATAGTAGTCGAGCCAGCCTCAGGGGATGGGTGGAGTTCAGATTACGTGTCACGATTGTTATTTTTATCTGACAGGCGTTTCTCAATTTAGAACAATTAGTACCCTTTGCAGGGATTCCCTCATAAAATAGCAAAAAAAATTATTTCGTAGTAAAATGTATATAATGTAATATTTCTAAGCAAAATTTGTATTTATGAATAATAGATCTAAAGTACAAGCGTGTTTCTTGTTATATATTTCATAGATAAAACTGAAATGAACTAACACAAGTAATTCTAAAATTTGTTACAAATTCAATTTTCGAGAGTATGATCATTTTACTAGGTCAGTTTTTATTAATGATTTAATATATTAGAAGATTTAATTAATTATCTAACATATATAATTCTCTTACGTGGTTCCCAAATTTTGGCTGTATTTCTTTTCCGCCGGTGGCAACGTTTGCTTTGACGGCGAATCGACCAATGATTGCCGCTAAAAATGCCACATGCCAAATCTAGCTGAGGTGGCTCAACATATAGCGCTTTTAAAAACGGAAACTGAAATAACCAGAGATCATCAGCTGCGGCAATCTCATACTATTAAGCTAGGCAGAAGTGAGTAGTCTTTGTCGATAGATCTCTATTTTAGTATTTTGTCGAAAGCGCTTTTTTTTA